GATTAAAGCCTTTCTGATTGCTGAGCTAGGCTTATGGCAGCGTGGATTTACCCTGTTGGGTTACGATGGCACTGCTGGCGTCGTAAATTGGGCTTTATCAGAAGGATGTCACCAGTACTGTGAAAAGTTAGTAGCGCTGAATTTATGTAGGCTGAGAAGTATTTTGTCATGAAACTATCAAAATATKGAGCTGAGAGGAGGGGTGATCCTCATTAAGTGCTTGTCAGAGCATTTCCTGAAAGTTGGGGGGCAGGAGACTTTTGGGGAGGCTCTTTGGAGTTGGGCCAGGAAAGCCCTAAGGAAAAAAAATAAGGGAAAAGAAAGTATAGAAATGAGACAATTTTAAGTTACATTGGACTTYACAAGCTTTCTCTTAGAGCAGAAAACAGTAAATCAGCCCTTTCAGGAACCTGGAGCCAATTACCAATATGAATTAGGAGCTATTGTATCCACAGTATAAAAATCTATTGGTAATTATTGACTCCTTCTCTTCTCTTCTTCCACCTCCCCTGCTATCTCCCCCCAAAATATCCTTAGAGAATTATTACCTTCCTTTTCATGGCAGTAGCATGAATGTACTTGCCCACGTTCTGCCTTAGAGTACATGAAGTTTTGTCCTTAGATATCTTTGGGAAGGAAATGTGTAAAATTAGTCTCCTAGACTGCAGTGTTTTTTGAAGAAAAATGATTTTTGTCCTTCAGATGGGGGAAAAAATAAGATACTGCATGGAAAATAATATGAATTTAAAAAGTTTGTCCTTCAATATACTATCTATCTGTAGCTTCTCTTCATGTTAATAGGAATCTCAGAACCACTTCTAGCTAGATTTGGAACCCTATTCCTTGCCAGCAATGGGAAATCTCTCTTCAAGTTCTCCTTTCAGTATTTGAGTACCATGGAAGTRGGATGGAAATACTACGGGAAAGCTGTGAAAGTTCATTACAACAAACCCTCTGTAGATAAAGATACTATTTAGGATGTAAAATGTTATTTTAGAGAGATAAGTATGCTCCAAATATGTATATTATACACACATATTTATGCACACATATGTATATAAATRTATAAAATATATTTATATGGAATATATAACTGTATATAAATATATTAATATAAATGTATTTTTGTATATGTATATGCACATAGAAASGTATATTCCTACACATACAAATGCACATTATGAGTTTGTGTGTGTATGTATATATTTCTATACATATATTATATATCACAGAATCACAGAATGATTGGAAGGGACCTCTAGAGATCATCTAGTCCAACCCCCTGCTCCAGCAGGGATGTATAGGTGCACACACATACGCTTGTTGTAATTTGATAGTATAAATCTAGCTCATAAATGACCTTTAAAACTTGTKGTATACATGGCATTGACATGACTGGCTTCAAGAAATTGATCTGTGTTGTTTGAAAGAATTGTTCTAGAATGATTGGAGTTAGAATTTTCTGAAAGAATATCTCGTATACAATTTGTATATTGTTTCTTACCAACTTTGCCCAAATTCTGAAGAATATATCCACTGATACTCAGAGGTGAAGTGCTTGGTTTTTGTTTTTGTTTTTTGCTACCTAATTACTATCTAATACTGCYATTACTATGTTAATTTCTTTATTTCTTCTCGTGTTATATTTGCAGCTTCAGTTGCAATTAAACCAAGATCTAGGCATCTTGCATCAAGATGATGGCTCATCAAAAAACAAAAGAGGAGTTCTTCCCAAGCACGCTACAAATGTGATGAGATCTTGGCTCTTTCAGCACATAGGGGTAAGGACTGAAGATGATCAGGAGTCACAAGGTTTGATGCAACTCTTAATATAATCTCTTACAATCTACTTAATAAAGGAGGTAAATTTGTTGTCTCTGTGTAATCTCATTTCAGTTTTCCCTCAGATCTTCTGGAGTAGTTCCATAGAGTCTAAAGTAGTAGTTCCACAGAGTAACATCAGCTGATTTTATTATTTAATAAAATACTTTGTGCTTGCACCCCACGCTCTCAAAAACATGGTTGAAAGGGATCTTCCTGTTTTTCAGTGTGTTGAGAGTGGAGTGCTCTCCACACCCTGCTTCCTGGCAAAGTGAAAAGTGGTTCCAAATACATATATGTGTGTGTATTTGTGTGTGTTTGTGGAGGAGAACTACATTTTTTTGGGAGATTATTCCCCTTTCAACAACCTTTCTGACACGTGCCAGTTGTGTTCCTGTCTACTTGTACTTTCAACAGACTGTCTTTCCTTTGCAAAAAAATATTTGTCCTTGAAGGACATGTAGGTCTTAAATACACTATACTATAACTTATAGTGTGGTTATTTTCTGTTTTTAGCAATTGATTCTACAACAGACAAGCTATACAGGAAAATCTGGATGTTTATTGCTATGCTATGTGCACTCTCTTCATTTGTAGCATTATTTAACGAGAAGAAATTTGTCAGTACTCTCATGTGACATTGCCTTTGGACAGCATAACTAATCAAATCTGGTCACATGCTGCGTTGCCCAGAGATCACGCTCTTTAACACTGTCAGCCATGAGAAGTTCTCTTCTTCTGAATTAGACAGTAGCAATTTAATGGTATCACAGACACTTTCAAGGGTAAAACCAGTTTTTGTCGTGAAGTACTCTGTTAAATGATCTTATCTACAAAAGTTCGTGTGGTTTCTTAAGCTTATGTTGTTAATGAGTCAGATGGCCTTAGTCTAGCAGCTTTAATCAGTTRTAAGATAGGGGTCCTTGTTTTTGATGAGGAGATAAAACGGAAGCTTACACCTTCTTTTTTTTTTTCTTTCTTTCTTTTGGGGATTTGCTTTTTATCCTGTTTAGCATCCATATCCAACAGAGGATGAGAAGAAACAGATTGCAGCACAAACAAATTTGACACTACTCCAGGTTAACAACTGGTAAGACCAGAGACGCTTACTTAATGTCTGTTACTGTTTCCACATGTTTGCAGCATACAGAAATAATTAAAGAATATACCATGGACATCTGGAATCATGCTTGCTGTGCATAGTACATGCATGTTATTTTTATAATGCATAAGCTATGATACTTGTGCCATTTAAATTCAATAATGACTCTGTAAAACTTTTATCAGTAAAGAATTTATTTTCTATAGCTGAAGGGATGGAAAGTTTTGTTCCTTTTGCAAATAGAGATTCAAATTAAGAGGATTTAGTGATCTGTGCAAAGGCTCTGAAAAATGTGCCTTAGTGATCATGGTTCCTGTGGTTTAAGAAGATACTGTCAACAGGTATTTGCCCTTATCTTCTCTCAGGGATATTACCCCCTGAGCAGTGATKTCCATGTGGAATGTGCCAGTGCCTCAACTACTCATTTCTTGGGTTGACATATTTTTTTAAAGCTATTTTTCACTCAAGGTATAAGAAAATAGTCCCAGAGCAGGTGCCAACGTGCATCATATTCTGCTCAGGGTATTGATTRCTAAAATTGCCGCAGATAAGTCCGCCAGGGCTCTTCCCCACATTTCAAACCTGATGCTGGCTAGCTGCATGCCTGCTGTGGGGTTCACTGGGGGATGCATTGGCCTGGCAGTGCACAGATTCCCAAGGTAGGCTACTGCAAACAGGCCTGCATGGCGTGCTGGTAAGAGAGCTTTTTGCTGCTGGGAGCTGACTGAGGAGCCTTGTCTTGCACCATGTGGACCTGGCAGCTCCCCCTTGCCTCTTTCCACTGCTGATAGAGGAGGCCTCTCCGTGTGSCTGGGCAGATGCAGCAGGGAGGGCTGCCCACGGGCACGGACAACTCCTGCTTCCCACAGGTAGCCACAGTGAAACTGCTTCAGTTAATTGCTGGTAGGGCAGTGAGATGTGGGCTAACTATTTTCTTATTCGCTAGCAGAGTAGGGCAAGGGCAGCAATTAGCAGTGTAAAGTAAACAGGCAGAGATCAAGGAGTGAAAAGGAGTTGGGAAAGATTGAAAAAAGTGTTTGATATTGTCTCTCCGATCAGGAACTAGGCCCGACAAAGCCAGGGAGCCTACAAAGCAAGTCATGCAGGAGCTTAGGTTAGCAATTTAAACCAGACCAAATGAGGCAGGAGCTACATTTTCAGGTGATTCCTAATGAGAAAAGTGTCAGCTTTTTGAATGATGCCATCAGCAGGTCCTCTGGTGATCAGCTTTTAATAAGCTCTTGCAATGTGCGTTTCTCATGCCCTCTGGAGAGCTTCCTCCTCTGGAGATGGAGGGAAGAGGCTGCTAGGAGGCAGATGAGAGGCCCGCTTTCCTAGCTGGTTTTCGGCATCAAAGGATGCCAGTGTTTTGGGGGAGTTTCACATATTTTAAAAGGGGAAAGGAGAGAGGGAAAAGAAAGGGAAAAAAAAAAAAAAAGGCAAGGTCAAGCTGGTAGGGAGATGTGACATTTTGCAATTTTAGTAATTCTGATTTTCTGATTTAATATTTTTTTCATTGTATACTTTGGTTGTGTTTAGGTTTATCAATGCTAGAAGGCGAATTCTTCAGCCAATGCTGGATTCCAGTTGTTCCGAAACTCCAAAAACAAAGAAGAAAACAGCTCAGAACAGGCCAGTTCAGAGGTTCTGGCCTGACTCCATTGCTTCAGGAGTTGCTCAGCAGCAATCTAACGAGCTTACAATGTCAGATGGTAAGGAGAGCTAGCTAGAAAGCAGATCATACAGTTAATCCTCTCTAGCACAGAATTTAAGTGCTTGATGCATTTAGTGGGAGGGAGCGTCTCAATATTTCTGCAAAACTGTTTGAACAGACAACAGAAATGCATCCTTTTTTTTTTTTTCCTTAAAATTTGTTTCTGTGTTTCCAGAGGGTATTACTGGAAGTTATATTGAAAAGTTTTTGCTTTTATTTCAAAAGTTATGAAATGATGTAGCAAAGGTTAGATGTATATGCACATTCTGAGATATGAGTTGCACATCAGTCATGTTCTCTCTGATTAGCAGTATTGGACTGAATTTTGAGCCTTGTGATTTCTGCGTCCTGTTCACATTCCTTTCAGTACTGCTTGAGGGGCTGAGCATCCGCAGTTCTGTTCATGCCTCAGGTGTTTCAAGTTGAGCACTGAGAAGTGGGGAGGTACAACAGAGCTTCCAAAGTTTTCTCTTGAAGTAACTTTGTTAGCAACAGATCATTAAAATATTTTTCTTTTTAAAATGGAATCTAATTGCTTTMATCTCAGGACCATCCTTTCTTTCCTGTAGCCTACTGCTTTATTACAAACTACAAACATTACAAATTACAAACCTGTAGCAGCTTTCCCCAACAAATGCAATGAATGTCCGTAACCCAGCTGGGTTGGAGCCAGCTTTAGTTCTGGGACTTCCTAATCTTTAAATGCTTGATGAGCTGAATAACRCAGCCTTTATTTGAATGCAGTCCCTTAGGTTTGCTTCCTATTGATTAGAAACGAACTCTGTTATCTACAGCTCTGTATTACCGAAAAAGAGCTGAGGAAAGATGCTCAAGCGTGGTGGTTTTGCTTCTCTCCAGGTGCTGTTGTAACAATCACAGCCCCAGTCAACATGAATGTAGACAGTCTCCAGTCCCTGTCGTCCGATGGTGCTACTTTGGCTGTTCAGCAGGTCATGATGGCAGGGCAGAGCGAGGATGAGTCCGTGGACAGCGGCGAAGACGACGCAGGAGATCTCTCGACGACAAATATCAGTGGGCTGGTCTTGGATAACAGCGATTCTCTGCAGTAGGAATCAAGAAAGAGTGACAAAATGCTTAGGAAAACGAATGAACTGACTGACTGTTTTTATAGTTTGCACAGCAAACATTTTACACAAGTTTTATTTCTAATATGTTTTATATGTAGATATAGAAGGGTGCACTTTTTTGTATTTCATAGTAAGCTTAAAGAGTGTTTTTGCAGGTGCAGCAACTTCTTTCAAATGTGTTTTTTATTTCTTTTCATTTTCTTATTTCAGAAAATTATATCTAGTAATATAAAGAACCACATAAGCACCCCTTTGTTCTCTGATGAATTGGAAGTGCTGCGGTTTCTAAAGAATTATGCAGTTTCAATTAGTGCTGTTATTTAACACAGCTCTTGACGGGCAGGTGATGTAAATTTAAAGCATGTGACACTAGTGTGTGGAACTTGATCATTGCGTTAGATACATATATTTGAAAGATGCTTCTGCACCTTAAAAACTGCTAGTCTGAGGTGGACAGCAACACACAGAAAGAAGATGGTGATGTGTGATTCAGTAGCGAATGTATGGCAATTTAAATAAGTTTAGTTTCTCTCATAGTCAGTGAGCCTGTTTATCATTTGCTAAAAAAAGAAAAAAAAAAAATTCCTATTTTTACCTTGCCGGGATTATTGGATAAAAAATATTTTTATAAATTCAGTAGGAATTGGGATGACGACTGTATTAAGCAGGAGAAAAACAAATTTCCAGAGGGGAAAAGAAAATGTTTAGTATTCCTATTTGGAAGGTCTGAAAACTGACCCAATTTAATAAACAAACCTACACTAGCGTCCTATGATTCTCAGCTATCCCATAGTGGTGTAGTATATTTGATAACAGCCTACAGAACGGCCCACTGTTTGCTGGGATTTTGATATTGTCAAACTTTGATTTATATTATGTGTAAACTAATAATTAATAATATTCAAATAACAATAACGCTGTATCTAAACATGTATCTGAAGATGTTTGCTAAATGGGTATTCAGGTAAGTAAATTCAAATACCCACAACACTTCCAGTTATTAGAGAAATTTAACAGTTTATAGTTTGTCCATCTGATGCTAAAAAATGAAAAGTTGCCTATTATGCAGTGATGGATTTACTATCTATTTGCTATTTTGTTGCATTTGAATATTTTTTCCCCAATACAAAAAGAAATAATTTATGGATTTATATGAAGTTTCTCTTCAAAGCTGCAGGTCACTGCTAGAGTATACAGCAGGCTTACTAGAGTAGGAGATCCTTGTGTGTCCTTCAAAAATTGAGAGCTTGTCATGAAAGCAGTTTTTTTGTTTCTTTTTGTTTCTTTTTTTTTTGTGGTAATAGATAATTTCTTCTTTCCCCAAGTTTGGAGTCTGTGTCTGTCTACCCATGAACACTTAGTTCTGGAACTTTGTATTCCCGTTATTAAGTACAAGTCTGCAAGTAACAGACTCCRAGAGTCTCATGGTATCATCAAGGTCCTCTTCTCCTCCAGTCCATGCGTCCYTATCTCGGCTTTGATCAAAGACAGAAATTTCTTCTCATTTAGACCACATCTAGTTGCATTTCTAACATGACAGGCAAAAAGGATGCAGAAAAGCTTTTAGGATGTTAGGCGCTGTATTTGAACAAAGYCCTTTAGCAAATGCAAACATCGAACTGAATATTCATTTTTTTTGCTTCACAAAATGCTCAGGCATGTGCTTAGGTCTCATTGATTTCAATAGGATTGAAGCATGTATTTTTTGACATGCTGAAATTCTTGGAAGCAGGTCTTTAAAGACTGTTTCCCAAGGCRTTTTTAAGTCAGTATGAAGAAGGATTTCACGAAGAAACGTCATGCTAGTGATTGGTAGCTCTTTTGAAAAACTGGTGTTGGGCTTTACTCARCCCAAATGCTTCTTCTTCAGTGGCTTTTGCTTACTCCCAGATGGGGATTTTATTTCTTGGTTCAAATACAGTAATGACTTACTCCATCTGGAGTTATGTTTTCTAAAGAACTTGTTTTATTTTAACTTTTCMACTTTGCCACTGATGTGCCATGCTTATTAAAGAGCATAGTAAATGAACAAYGAAAGATTTAATTAGGAAGACTTCAGCATAGCAGAATCTATCATCAGAATCATCAAATCTAGTTTGATCCTAAAATATTTAAAAAGACAACTGCCGTGCACCAATCATGCTCCTCTGGAAACACGCAACCTACTGTCCCTGCAAGTGATACCCAAGGTGATTAGAACCGAGAAACAGGTCAGCTCCTCGAGCACTTTGTCACCCTCACGGTTTCTGTTATACAATTGGTTTTGTTTGTTGGGTTTTGTGTGTTTTTGTTTGTTTGTTTTCAGGTACCCTTGTTCATATTAAATGGTGTGCTAATCCTAGCATGTGGACAGATGAATAACCTGCTTCTCAGCGTGTGCAGAGCTGTGGACAGATGCACTCTTCCAGATCAGCCTKTGCTGCAGGACTAGGCTGTTGCTGTCTCCTTTCCCCCTCTGACCAGAGTTGCTGCTGCCTCTGGGTCTCTCCCCATGCAGCATGAAGGAATCTGCAAGCAGCTCAGCCAGCATCGCGGTGGCAGCAGCCAGCAGCAGGAAGGCAGAAATGGGCAAAAATGGGCAATTCGGCAGTGTGTAGGCATCAGGCATCTGCCTGACCTTCAAGATGTCACAGCACTGAGAACTTAGAAAACAGAGAGGGAACTGATACCATTTGATCTGTGTATGGCTGGCTGGAAGAGAGTTCAGAAAATAGGTGCAGTTTATCTTGCATTTTGAACTCCGTTGGAAACAACTGGGCTTTATGGCTTGCAGATTTTGGAAAGATTAGGTTTTGGAACAAATTGTTTTCTGATTAGTGTTCTTCCCTATTTGCAGTGCAAGTTTTAATCTCCCGAGGTATTTGCCACCTTCTGTTCAGGTAGTGTATAAATACCTGAAAAATGAAGCTAACTGGAAAGTTACTATGAAAGGGAGAAAATTTAATAGTTTTACTACTGGCAAATCAAGAGGGGAAAAAAAAGGGGGGGGAGAGAGAAAGACAGGGAATTATAAAAACTGGGGGAAAAAAAAAGAAACTTTTATCAGTATAATCAAGGATATCCCAAAATAGAGAACTCAAACCTCTTTTAATTTAGTTAGAATTATGTAGTCAGTATAAACTACATGGAAGTGCTTGTTCTTTTCATGACTTTAAAAAGAAAAAAAAAAGTGTTCTTCCCTTTTTACTAGGTAAGAAAGATTACTGGGTTAAGGGAAGCATCACTGTTCGAGAAAGGAATGTGTTTACATTAGACAGTTGCAATGTTTTCATAGGGGACCTAACTCTAAGCCCGTGTATAATTCCCCCCCTTCCCACTCAAAGCAATTAAAGTCACATTCATACATAACAGAAGAGCTAGTTTGTTCTGAAACATCAGTGCAACTCTTGTGCAATTGCAATTATTGAAACAATCTTTTCAATGTAATCTAGTTCATTAACCTCAAACAGGGTTCTTGGTTCACTTTTCCCAAGATTTCTATACAAAGACAATTTCCTGTTATTCTTCAACATTGGGAACATTGTATTTAGGAAATCAATTCCAAATTGATCAGTGTGTGCTTAAAAATGACAACTCCATAGCAACAATCATGTTAAAATTAAACATTTAGAGTTGTGGGGTATGGCTCTGGCTGAGCAGACAGTTTCCTCCATCTGGATAAGGGGTCAAAGAGGCATCCAACTAACCTTGGGGGCCCAACACAAGGCCCTTCACATCTTAAGTGCAAGAGAATTGCTCCTTTCTTTCAGTCCCTGCTTATGATTAGGAGGTTTTTAGAGAACTCTCCAGCTTTCTGCTGCCTTCATGGCTCACTTTGCCTGTGAAACCAGGGTGAGGGGATGAGAAGGGCAGGAGCCCATGTGGGGCTGGTATGAACGTGGTAATTTTTGTTGGGACTATGGCCCAGTGATTTATCTAGACCGAGGAATTGGAGTTCCTGCTTCCTGTGCTTTAAAAGAAACTTAAGGTCTCTGGATCTTCTTGTGGAGCAGGGCTGCACAGACTTAATGCATGAATAAGATGTATCTATTCATTTCTCTAATCACGTGGAAAACGAACTAGAAGGCAGCTCAACTTCCTGACTTTGTGAAACTGAAAGCGGGAAGGATGGAAGGAAGTGTTTCCAAGGGATCATCGGTTCATAAAAACTATTAGCCTTGTAGCACTTAAAGTCATTTTGAAAAATGAGAACACATGTTTTTAGCTGTAATTAATGTCGGTTTAAGATTTATTTTCTGAAGCTGAGTCGTCTTGGGAGAAAAAAAAAATGAATAAGCATTTGTCTATGCAAGATGAAAGTCAAAAACATGTATGAATCAGCCATTTTTAGGTGCTGTATTGTTGTTGTCTATTTGACTTCTGTTTTGTTGATTAATCTTTTAAACTTTTCAGCCTTAAATGCAGCTTAGTTTTAGAGCTGAACAGGCAAAATGTAGTTCTGAAAATCCTGTTGGAAACGTAACCAACCTTCGTTCACTCATGAAAACCTTGCATGTTTAACAGGAAAAGGGAAATGTTTTGATTCCCTAGCAATCAATTCAGACTGTCACCACCTCCTAAAAACAAAGCTAGCTGGTAAATATCCAAGGAAAAGACGAATTTAACGTGTGAATGATCAAATTATCAGTCTTAAGCTGAACCCGCTTTGCTCTTTATTCTTCAGCGTAGCTGAACAGTAAAGCCGGTTGGCTTCACCAAACTCAAGGCCAAACTCAAGGGACTTTTCTCCCTTGCTTTGGCTTAATAAGCCCTTTCAAATAGGCTTTGGGTTGTATTAAGGCCTAAGATTACTTGGACACCCATGGTAGTAAAACTAGCACTTAAATGATTTCTCAAATTGTGCTACGTGGTCACTGTCGTCTCCTGGGAATACAAGACCGTGTTCAGGGACTCGTTTCTGTGGCTCACGGATCAGAGCCRTGTCTCCTGAGCCCAGCAGCGAGGGAGAAGGCAGTGAAGCCGCCTCACAGGCCGCTGCAAAGATGTTTGACCTGTCAGGAGAACCCAGCGTCTTCACGTGGTGACAGGGGGGACCCCTGGGTCTTTCAGTGGGTTAGCAACTTTTGGACTGTATAACTGACAATCTTTAAATTGTGAAACCCTATATATTTTTCTTTTCTCTCCCCTGGTTGCTGAGAGATTTTGTGAAGCAACTGATCTATCAAAGGACAAAATCAAAAATCAGAACGTTTCCTGGATGATGTATTTTTACACTACTGTTCTCTTTGAACTTAAAAACCCATCTTTAGCATAAAGCGTTCACGTTACATTAGCAGTATTGTTTGGCTGGAAGATAGATGTTTTTGAAGAATCTTGAGCACAGTTTCAAACTAGGTAACCAATTCTTGGCCAGGAAGAATCTTTGGCCTTTTTGATTGTTAGGATTTTCTTGTTTATGCAAATGCAGAAAAAAAAATGTTTACTAGTTCTAAAGAATCTGGGCATTTTTATTATGCTTTTGTAATGCAGGAGCAGCTTTGAAAGAAGGAATTGGCAGGTAAATAGCCCATGAAGTGTGTGAGTTTTTCTGTTTGTTTGTTTCAAAATTGTTAATTAAACTGGCATGGACATCAAACTTTCAATAATGGTTGCAAGCATATATAGTACTGATTTACTTGGAAAGGATTCCCCCACGCAGGTCCCACGTGTGCGAACGTTTTCACTGTAAGGCCTTTCCTTACCTTGGGAAAGGCTGCAAGGCCTTTCCAAAGGTGCCACGTGTAACTAGGTTAGGGATCTGCAGAAAGCGAGCAGATGGATCTGCAGATTTGGCAGACGGTTGCGGCAGCCCTTCTCCGGCCAGAACCCCGGGTGCTTCCATGCAGCCGGCGGGAACCGCATGGGGGAGAAGGGCACGGACGGGCGCAGGCGCCTGTGGCCGCGGGCCCGCTCGGCCGGGCCTGGCGGCCACCCGGCTGCGGCACCCGGAGCAGAGGGCTCTGCCCGGAGCTGGGGTCTCCGTGACGCTCCTTGGGGTCCGGCCCATGTCATGGACCTGGCGGCACCGCTCGGGCCTCCAGGACCAGGCGGCACCGCKGGGGCCTCCAGGCCGGGCTCCCCAGGCCCCTCTCGGCCAAGCACCACCACGTGCCCTCTCCTGAGCATGGCTTACAAGCCATATGGGCAGTTTTCAAGAGTCATATTCACGACCATTTGCTTGCTGCGGAACGTGTTTCCAAGTGTGTTTGGATCACACATGGTTTCACAGGGTTTCTCCATGATGGATCGGTATTGCAGACACGAGCAGTGCCAGGCGTACAGGGCCTGACGTTAAAGCGGTGCCTGGGCGTAGTGCAAGCAGCTCCAGGCGGTACAGTTGGGAGTAGCTTCAAACCCACCGCTTCCAGGGAGCAGTTGTTGTCCCTCAATATGAAAAGAATGAAAAGTAAGCTCCTTTAAAGAGGTCCTTTCTCCTACATTGCAGTCAGGACAGCGGATACCCAGTCCTTTACTCTTAAAACCCCCTCAACCAGTCCTTTACTCTTAAACCCCCCTCAAAGATAAACTCCATGAGTCACAGCCGCATCCTAAGCACCTGATTAGCCTGTTTGCTTTTGTGGAGGACCTSTTTACCAAACACCTGGTGATCTTCTGTTGCCCAACCTGAGCCTGTTTGGAAATCGCCCTCCTTCCAGAAAACCAGAAGAAGGTTTTCAATTCAAAAAAGGAGGAAAACACACTGTAAACAACAACTGTGAAATGCCAACTCTGCAAAAAATAAGAAGTAGTGGCCCTATATAAAGTACTGCATTATTTATTCAAAACCTGTATTTAAATTCATGCAAGCTCAGAGTGTAACATAATGTAGCAGTAASCCTGTGGTGTATTTTAAAACAAAACAAAAAACACCCTTTAGATGTTAAAAT